GGAAGATAAATGGTAGAGTCGTGGTAGGAATCATAATATGTGACGAATTTCCTAACACACTACTACTGTTGGTTATGATTATTCGCAATTACCACCCTAATTGCCTTCAATCACTAATTAATCCTTTCTATTGATTCCCGCAATTAAGGTGTTCATTCAGCAAAACCAACTCGCACCGTTTCCTAATCAAGTGGGAAATCAAGCTGAAGGCGTTCGTGTTCAGCACCTGCTTACAGATTACGCGCGTCGCCTAGACAATATGTTAATTATATATCGGTTGCATTTGCATCATACAAATTGCAAAGGTCACTTACGATTGAGGAAGAAAACATTCAAAGTCTGATGTGGAAAAAGAGTTGGCCAAACTAGAACTGAAAAAAAAACTTGAAATGTGCTGGTGGTGATGATGCGAAGAGTCAATGGTTGAGGCTAGCTATTGAGCGGTTTGTATCTTCGATTAGATGTTAACAATTTCTTGAGACGTAGAGAGTCCCTGTTTATTAATTTACAATTTATCAATAGGGATAAAATATGCAGCACGTGGCAGTCTAGGCGTTTGCTCGAAGTCGCATGCGAGCAAACTAACTTGGTATCAGATAGTTTCAGTTAGCCAAACAGATTATCATTCATTCACGGAGAGAGAACAGAGTATGTCGCACACATCTAATTTACCAAAGTCTTTATTCTTTCAATGTCGTTACTTACTAAACGTCGGATTTTCAGGGCAATATTGTAATAGATGAAAATGGAGGATCGATTTTGGTCTCACGAACCGACAAAGTCGTGGTTCCTTCCAGTCGTCTTCAGATAATCCAGATATGGCTTAGCAGCGTATACGGTCCCGGAAAGATTTAAAAATTCACTTGACGGAAATGATGACATTTACTCACTTGGGGAGTGAACATAATAATGGTTCAGAGGGAGAATTTTGGAAAAGGTATATACCTCTGCCGAACAAGGAATTAATAGAAAAATTCTAATCAGTTCGCGTGATATGTCGATTATAGAAAAAACCAAGTTTGCACGAGTCGAACACGAATTGTAAAAGATCTTGTTCTGCTAGGCCGTGTTGTAGACAACTGTATTCGATTCTTAGGACTTCAAGTAAGTAGATAATAACGCCGAGTGCCGAACATGATATTCGTTTACTAATCAATTTGGTATTTTAGCAAGACCGGTTGCGGATAAGGCCTGAAAATTCAATACGCATTCACGTTTCCTCCGATTCCGAAGTTCAGATGCATTGTCCCTTGTACAGGCACGACCAAGTAGGTGAACACAATGTTCAATAAAATTGATGCGTTATTGCTCAAGAAATCTGGCAAGCACTGCTAACAGTCTTTTTCTACTCATGTGGTATTTTACAGTCGTATGCCGCCTCTGTTTCCATCGGATGATACTATGCGTGGTTGGTGGCTTATAGTTCTGCTGTCCGAATTAGTCGTAGCTATGCTTTCATGGTTGCTGTGAGAGATGATTGACTTCTCATATTAGATAATAATAATATATTGACTTTATTTGTAATGGATTAAACATAACCAACAGTAGTAGTGTGTTAGGAAATTCGTCACATATTATGATTCCTACCACGACTCTACCATTTATCTTCC